TGCTTGCATTTGATTTTGGGTTAATTTGTCCACACCTCCATTATTTTGTTCTGGAAGGCCAATTAATTTGAATTCCAAATGGCTCTTAGAATCATCATTATCTTCAATACACAAATTAATAGTATCCGTTACAATAGCTTCTGTATTTTGCATCACTTCTGTTTGTGGTGCAACAGGAACCCCTTCATCGCATTCTTTATTAATTGCTTGAATTTGATTTTTAAGTAATTTAGCCACTGTCCTAGCATCATCTTCAAGAATCAATCCAGACTTTGCCTGTTGAAGTAAGATTTGTAATTTTTGTGAATATATAATACTATGAATTAAAGAATGTTTGATTCAAATATCCATTTCATTTGCTACATCATCACAATTCTCCTTATCAATGTCTATTTCAAACTGAATGGCTTCATTCTCTTATGCTTGAAAGATCTGTGAAATAATGTAATTGAATAATTGTTAGTAAAAACATTTCAATAAAATTACCTTTTCTTAGGATCCAGAAGACGTAAACGAAACTCTACTTTTCGTGATTCAGAATTACTTCCAAGATTCTCCTTTGATACAACTTCAACTTTCAAACCAACATCTTCACCGAAGAAGTCATGATTTAGAAGTTCTTTTACCATTGGACTGTAATTTTTATAAATAACTGTAACTACTGCTTCTTATAATATAAATAAAAAAATACTTATAATTGATTTTTAATATATGTGTAATAAAACCTTACCGATCTTCTTTGTTAAGAAGAATGCATTGTTGAATTATATCACGAATCTCAGCATTTTCTACTTTTTCAAAGCTTTGTGGTTAATGCCCTAGAAATAATTCAATAAACAATGTTTCATATTTGTGCATATATATATATAATATATATATATATATATATATTTATATATATGAGTAGTATGTATAATTCATACCGATATCACTTTTTTGTAAATTTGAGCAGGACCTGAACATTCACTGTAAGGATATTCAGAAGTAGCCATTTCCAACATACACATACCAAATGCATAAACATCTACAGATTCATCATAATGCTCTTCATACATCTCAGGAGCCATAAATTCAGGAGTACCTACCAAATCATTAATAAATAGATTTACAATTATTAATGCTCAAAATCTTCATTGTGAATTATAATAAATAAATATAAATAAGTTACCTATAACCGATTTAGCAAAACTTCTGTTCTTTAATGTAGCAAGACCCAAGTCTCCAATTTTCACACTGCCCGTAGTCCCAGTTATAAAAATATTATCACATTTCAAATCACGATGTATTATAGGAGTTGATCGCGAATGAAGAAAATTGAGTCCTTTCAAAATCTGCCGGCACCAAGATTTTAGTACTTTTGGGTTGATTTTCTTGAAACGTCGAAGATACCTGCATTATATTGTTCAAACTATAAAACGGCCTTGTTCAATTGTTATAAAGCGCGAAATAACATCTGAATATTAATTATGTAAAATAATACATACATATAGATAGTAAAACAAAAAAATAAACTTTGTTTTTTTAAATATTTTTGAACTTACGCTTTAAGTGTGCCAGACAACATCAATTCTGTAACTAAAACAATGTTTTCTTTTTTCCCAATGTAGATTCCCAATAGTTGTAGAAGCGCACAATATTAGGATGCTGTAAATTTTTCAACATCTCTGCCTCCTCTCGGAATCTTATCCTCTCCGTTTTGTTCAGTTTTTCTCCTGTTACAGAATAGATTAAGTGTGATGGCTTAAAGACAAAATACAACTGTTATATATAAATATATTACTGACCAAGAGTTCACACCAAGCTACAGCTACACCAGTTTGCGTATCCAGACCTCTATAGACAGTTTTGAAAGAACCTCTGCCAACTTCTTTGTCATATTTAAAAAATCTTCCACAAGGTGACACACCAATTGGTTCGTCGTCATCATCGTCTTTCGGCAATTCTATATTCTGCTCCTCAAATTTTTCGGAATCATAGATTGGCCCATAGATAATGTTTTCATCGTTTTCAGAGTAATGATCCGGTATAATTTCTGTATGGTGTTCATATTCCCTGTATTGCTCCGTATCTGTTCCTAATATTTCAATATTTTCGTCCTGATCTGTATCCTTCGCAGTATCGATAGTTCTTGATGTATCGCTCTTTTTATCGGCCATAGTTGAGGACCGGTCAGAGGTAGGTTCCGATTTTGTATATATTACGCTTAATACACTATTCTCTTGACTCTTCCTAACAAATCTTATCTTTCCTTGGGTAATATCAAACTGACATTCGTATCAGAATCTGTATTTTCGGTATCATCAACAACATTGACAAGTGACTTATCAATTATATTCACAGGATTCTCATTAATCTTCACAGTCTTAGTTTTGCTTCCTTTTAAATTTTTGAGTTATCAGGAGAGAACGTTCTTTTGGTGAAGAGACTGATGATAACTCGATACGCCAGTGTCAATATTGCTATCATCCGACTTATTTCGAATACATCAAATTCTGGTTTATTATTTAAATTTTCTAATTCCCTAATATCTGGCAAAGCCTCTTGGGCTGGCGTGACCACTTCGGACTTGGAGTTTTCTTTCTGGCCTAAATCTATGGAAGAATTTCGGGATAAGTAATCAGCAATTGATTTGGAGTCTGATTCTACGCTGTTATGAGAACCGTTAATAGTTGGACTGGAAAGGGGCTTTATTGCTGTTAAGTCATTGATGGAACTAACTGAAGGTGAAGAGGTAAGCTCACATGGAGGTGCCGTCACTATCGGGCTCGTTACTGTCCCGATTTTGCGTTGACGTGTTGGATTCCGTGAGTTGAGTCTGAAATTATAGAAAAATACGAAGTTCAAAATGACACAAAAATTCGCCAAGTAAAAAATAATTGTCTATGATTCCTATGAAATTTTTGACAAATTATCGGTGTGATAACTTTTTCTTTCAAATAGAAAATTTTCGTCTGGGAAAAATAGGCTATGACCAAAAACTATATAAGTACAATTTCAATAAAAATCTTAAAATATTATCGGTATAACAATTTTTTGATGAGATATGGCTCTAAGTATCTCATAACTTAAATTATTTCTTTCAGTACTTGTAGTCACATTTTATATAAGGTTTTATTTACGAGATTTATTACACAATATAAATGTTCTAAATCTTGAAGAATAACTATATTCAAGATAATTCACTGGAAAAAACGCCTTGAACGTGAAATGAAATGAAATGGACACAAGAACTCAATTTGTATTTATTGAGACATTAATTTACTTTTTTTAATAAAAATCCTACCTTTTAAGAAAACCACTTGTGGATACTTAGATATCTAAACATTATAGTAAAACTTTTAATATACAAAAAATAGTAAAACATGATGAACAAAAAATGCATAAAATGTATTTGCAAAAGAAAACAAACAAAACACTATCTACATGTCAAATATCTTTAAGAATTTGGTTGCTGCGAATAAACAAGTAAAATGAATCTATGAAAAACAATTGGATTAAAACAATATATGGTATATATAGTTGTAAGTATTATTAGTTAAATTTATTGTACAACGTTATTTCAAATTTCGTTTTGTATATCATTCTTCAATATAAACTATAATTTAAGAATATATTTTTACTTTATACCTAAATTATGCATACGATACATATTCCTATTCATTAAATATTAATCCATAGTTTATTTTAAGCATGAAATAATAATGTAACTGACCTATAATGAAAATCCCTAACGTATTAAAATAAAATCAAGTACTTAAGGGGTTAGGGGTACTTGGAATTTTTTGAAAAATCGATTTTTATTTTTTTGCATTTTCATTAAGTGTAATATCTTGAAAATGTTCTCTGAAAATTTCAAGTTGATCCGATGATTACTTTTTGAGTTATTGGACTTTTACCAGCGCGTTGACGCAAGTGGAGAGCTCGATACTTATACTCAAGATTATTCTCCCTCAAATCCTGATATTTTACGATGATCTCAGCAATGATAATTTACTTTCAACATGTGTAGTTCAAGATTGAATCCATAATCAGATAAAATTAAACGCTTCAACCAACTAGTGTAAAAAAATATGCCTGAAAATCGTGAATACTAGTTCTACTATCGTACAAATTGCTGAATACATATACATAATCATTGTTATTGATTATAGATACCCTAGGACCTAATTGTGGGTATAATTCCCATTGGTATGTTGAAAAATAGGATGCTGCACGTGTGAAAGTGGCAGATCAGCGCGCCAACGAGAACGCTAAGGGGGGCCAGAATGCTTCGTAGGCAACAGCAAATGAGAATTTTGGAAACTTGCACAATGACTGAAGAACTATTATATGGCCCAAAAATAGATGACTCGGTTTAAGTAATTCAATAATTCGAATTTCTGTACGTAAAACCAAAGTCAAACTTTAAACGCGTTTTTCTCAAAACTATGTATTTTGAACAGGTGACCACTGTAACTCAAAAACCGCTTAGTAAATTTTAATGAAATTTATACAGCTTTTAGAATGGATAATAAACCCGGGCCTGATCGAAGGATTTTTATTTTTTCAAAAATATCAATTTTTTAAGACCAATTAACAGTTGATTTTTTACCCAAAAATCTATATTTTTTTTTTCTGTTGCTGCCATTTTGTTATTTTTTGCAAAAAAAAGAAAACCTTCGATCAGGCCCAGGATTATCTATTTATAAAACTATTTTTTTTTATTTGATCGATTTTAGATGAATCTCTAAGGAGTTATGATGGTCACCGCCAGGACCATTTTTTGAAACAGGGTCAACAAAAACAGCTATAACTTTCGAAATATTTATTATTTTTTTCTAAAATTTTTGTTACTTCAGGTCAAAACATTGTATAACAATGCCGTATTAACATTTTTGTAAAAAAACATCGTTTGATAACAAAAAAATAATACTGAAAATACTCATTTTTTCGTGCCTCCAAGTACCCCTAACCCCTTAAGTAAAATATTTTTCATTGGAAATAAAAGTAGATTCTAACGTTAGGAAGAACCATCAAATTGTTAAATAGCAACAAATAAAATGTAAAATTTGATCATGTTCTTAAACACTAATAAATTAACCAATCTACTAACCGTTCCTTGTTGACTTTGCTGTGCATCATGATACGTCTAGGCGTCATTCTTGACATATGCTCAGATCCTTGTTCCACCGGCGGCAATTTCTTAGGCGGTATTGGCACTGACTTAGATTGAGGCACCTTCTGGAAGCCTGAGATCGGGATAACGTGGCCGTTATTCGCGTTCGTTGGCTCGCTTTCGTTGCCTCCTTGGCCGCCGCCGATAACATTCGTCGAGGCGTCAAAGGATGTTCGAAGCTTCGAACTTAGGCTAAGCGGCGTGTCACCGCGAAATGAGCCCCTTTTAGACGCGGCGGTTTCTGTTTGCGCTGCCTCACTAAAAATTTAAATCACTCGGAATAAGTACTCAGATTACTAAGTAAATACAAACAATTTTCGAATACAAAAACTGTATTTTTTCAGTTGTATGAATAACTCAAATACCGAATATTTTTTGAAAAAAATAAAATAAAAATAATAATTATAAATACTGATTCTATTTGTTGCTAGATTACTGTACAAGATATGTTTCATAAATCATAAAGATATTATTTGAGTTCCGATTACTTTATAATATTTTCAATAGTTTTATAAAATACGTGTGTGCTTAATGATTTACAATTGGGATAAGAAAAAGAAAGGAATTCATGCATTCATTCAAATATATGTATTTATACTTAATACATTGTAATATTAGATGTGAGAATGGCACTGCATTCATCAAAATTTGTAAAAAGATTTCATAAGCTTTAAACTTGAACTACAAGAATAATTAAATGCCTTTTACTTAGAATTACTTTATCGGAAGATTTGAGTGAATATAAAGTTTTATATGGTTATAGTGTAATATGCTCAAAATACTAAAGTATTTAGACGTTAGTAGATCTGTACACACTAGAATGTAACCAAAAACTGTCAAAAATAATTAGTTTAAATGTCCCAGTTATTAATAGCTTGGTTTAACACAGTGTAATAGTGTAGTGTATTTTTGTATAATTAATTTTCTTTTTTCCACTGAATGACGGTCTCGATGAAGACCGAAACGTATGGATAAATAAAGTATTTCAAAATTACTTTAGTTTTTTTACTTGGTGTTACTGCCCGATTCTAAATAACTCATCAAAATATATATAAACACCAAACTCACATATTTCAATATATATATATACATTAGGGTGGTCCTTAAAACGGTCATTTTCGAATTTTCTTGCTCCCAGGGGCTCAAATGGTTCCAAATAGATAAAAAACAATTCTTGAAAGTTTTAGATCTTAATATTAACGTTTAGATAGAGCGCAATTTAATCAAACTTCGTATGGAAAGAGCATGGAAAAATGTTTGAGAATTTAAAAAAAATGTTTTAGGTATAACTTAGCGACAAATGAATGAGTTTTATTCATTCATTTGTTCGCTAAGTTACATATAAAAAACATTTTTAAAATTTTTGAAAATTTTTCCATGCTATTTCCATACAAAACTTTGATTGAATTGCGCTCTATATAAACGTTAATATTAAGAGCTAAAACTTTCAGAGAATTGTTTTTTAACTATTTGGAACCATTTGAGCCCCTGGGAGCAAGGAAATTCAAGGAAATTTATTTATATATATGTTGATAGTTTTGTCGACATTCATACATATTTGAAGTATTTTGCAGCCCAATCGTCAAATTAAAAAGGGGGTTAATATAGAAAAAATCTTATATTTATACAATAAATTAGATTAAATGCAAAACTCACCTAAAAATGTAAACTTAACCAAAATCCAGTCAGTTAAAAACGCTTTTATGAGATATCAAGTAAAGTTAACAACAATTTACATTGAAGTTAAATTAAAGGTGTCCTAAAAACTTGCGAACAAATTCGCAAATTCACGAAAAAATATTAATAATTTTTAAAACAAGCTTAAAAAATGTTTGCTATCAACAGAACATGTGAACAAATTTGTTACCTGTTGAATAAAACAGTCACTGCCTGTGTTGCATTCAAATAAAGCGGATGAGCTCACAAAACAAATCGGTCCATATCATAAATTAATCGCGAATTCTCCAAAACATTATATTTGTTAATAACTAATATTCGCAAGACCGTCTAGTTAAAATGCGTATCGCTATAACAATGAACGTTTAAAACTATGGAACACAGTATATACGTCAGAAATGGACATGCTTCTTCCAAACGCTAAAACAAACTTTGTAATGAGACGATAACACTACAATGGTAGTTTTTAATATCTAATTGGTAACAATTTTGTAGAGGGACAATGCTTATAAACTAACATAATTATGAATGGTGTTATAAAGAAGAATTGCTAAACATTTATTGACAAACTTACTGTATGTGAGTATTATTTCAGAACGACAATCGGTCCGAAAAAGAGCTGCATTGTTTCATTTGTAAGCTTATCTGTGTTGAATTTTATAACAAATTAGCGACAAATTAGCAAACAAACACCAATACAAAATCAATTACATTTTATGTTACTATGTCGAAAACAACCAAAAAACTAAGCAGAACATTAATTTTGTTTAAATAATGAAAATTATAGAACTTATGTCAGACATTTTTAAAACAAGATTTTAAAACAATCACGAAAGTAAATCTAATATAGTACAAACGATCCTAGCAAGCATTCCATTTAATGAAGGTATATAAAAACCTAGTAATCGTAATAAAGTACTTGTCAAAAGTCATCATTTTCAGTGTAAAAATTACAATGGTGAATCAAATTCAGGCGTCTTTTGCTTTAATGTATGTTATAATTACAACTACAATTTTGTTAATACAATATTTTAAAAATATATTACCAATTAGACAAAAACAAAGTGCCAGAACAGTATTAAATACGTTAGTCAATACGCTGATATTTTAAACTGAACCCAAAATTTATACTATTTGGAACGCATATTACAATATTGTCTGTACATAAATACATCTATATGACAATGATAATAAATATGTGATGAAATTTTTTTAAATAAAATAAAATATTGATATAATGAAATAAGTGAAGTTCAACTTATAGTAAAATCTATTTTTCGTTATATTATAAATAATCTTGAACCAAGTATCAAGCTATACATTTCAAAAAAATTAAATATTAATTTCAACACATTTTCATATCCAAGAATTTGAAAACGTAAATTATAAATTATATATAACGCTCATTGTTAGTCGTTCGAGTTTTTACCCATACAGTTCTTATATTTTCTGTTGCCATATTAAATTCATTTCATTTGACTTAGTACCTCAATTTAAAAAATATGAAAATATAACCAATAATAGCTGTTATTTGAGCACCACGAGCATATAAAATATTTTTTTTAGCATATACTGCAAATGTTTTGTCACTACAATCTCGAAATATAAATTCGTCAAGATTGAAAAGTGTGCAAGTTTCAACGATAATTAAAAACAATTACTTCAGATTTTAATAAACATGCATATGATTTCGTCTATCTTTAAAATAAATTCACAAATTTAGATCGCAGTTATAATTTCTTGTAGCGCGTCATTGTTGAACCTTGTGCCAAAAAAAACTTATCTAATATGATTTACACGGAATCGGCAAGTTTTTTGTAACAACGTACCATCGTCCTTACATTAATTACTTGTACAATATCAACTGTTGAGATGGGACAAAAAAGAACAAAAGTTTTTAGGAAAAATTGACATATGCCACAAATCGCCATTTCTGGGTATCTGATTTTAAACGTTTCTATTAAAGGGCTGTTTGTGAGCTCTCGTACAAAGATAAATCATGTAAAGCAACATGCAAAAGGACTTGGTATAGTATTAAAAATAGATGATAAAAATAGATGATTAGATGATAGAAATAGATGATTAAAAACAGATGCATCATCTGTTTTCCCCATAACGCAAAATATATGTATTCACAAAGGGTGCTATACTTATTCTGTTATCCGTTTCTATTGCAACATTGTACAAAGAACAAACGTTTTCGAATAACTTCCTCTACAATACGCGTAGTAAATTGCAAGTGGTGGTTTGGTGAAGTGTAAAAACAATGTTTGGTTTTAATTAATAAAATTTTAGATTATATTTATTCCACAATTATCGCTACAAACGTTATTGGGAGTGCCTCAGCACCATTAGAAATTGCAAACGTCAGTCACCGAGTCCGTGCCGATCTCAGATCTCCAATCGCCACTTAACGGCTGAATAAGTAGTTCTCTCATTGTTGATAGAGAACACACATGGACGCGCAGAGAAAGGTTAGTTAAGAACAAATGAGAAATAGAAATGGGGCTGACATATATCTATATTGTATATACACATATTTTATATACATAAAAAATAATCTTCGAAACTACTAGCATATAAATTCTTCTTCAGACGATAATAGGTTAGACTACTGGTGTATGGCATCTTGCCTTAAGGCAAATTGCTAGAACTTCCCGTACCAAAAATTAAAATTAACTAGTGGGGTGTATGGCATCGTGCCTTAAGGCAAATTGCTGGAACTTTCCGTACCGTAACGAAGTGTTCCAGGAATATTGAATGTTTTCAAATAGATTATTATAAATATTGTAACATTGTCTAATATTTATAAGAATTATATAAACTGAATTGCAAAGTTGAAATTATTTGTTTAAAGTATATTAGAACTATAGTCAGAATTAACAATAAAATCTAAATTATTCTCGATATACAAAAAAAAATTTTTTGAAAAAAAAGTTGAAACAATTTTTTTTTCCAAAATCAATTATTTTGTTAAGACAAGCATATCTCAAAAACTGTCATTTTTTGCACATTTAGCTCCGTATCTTCGAAATGGCTGGGCCTGCCTTTGCCAAAAAAATAATAAACACTTCTACCAATAATTACTAATTGAATGTTTTTAGATCATTCAAATCGGATGCTCTGTTCTCTCAAAAACTCGATTTCTATTTTCAGTACTCTTTGCTCTTTATCTCCGTAACTGCTGGACCTGCCTTTGCCAAAAATTAATCAGCACATCCCCTTATCAATAGGAATCGAATGTTTTTGAACCATTTAAATCGGTTGATCCGTGCGCCCGACAACGTGACCGAAAAATTGTATCCTTACATACATACACACACATCCATTTTTTTCTGAGGTATGCCAAAATGTTCAGAAACCTTCAAAACGTCGAGAAATGTAAAAATGTTCAATTTCGATTTTCGGCCCATTACAATAACTTACCCTACGGGAAGTTAAAAAAAAACTTCCTACTCTTTATTTGAAAAATTCAATAAATTTTTACAAAGCAATCGTGCTGCGTGATTGTTTGGAAGAAATATCGAAGCGCGTAAGCGCCACCGGGCAGACCAACGGATAAACACGTATACGAAACCCAT